ATATTACATTATGCTATGTGTATATGACTTAAGAAGGTAAAAAACTAAGGAATTGGAAAAATCATATGAACATTTGGAAACTGAAGTGTTAATTGAAAAAAGATTATCAATATTTTAGGAGAAATTTGGAGGACTGTGACTTTTAAAGTATAAGTCAAGAGGATTTATTATTCATGCATCTTATTTAAAATAGATGTATCTGTAGTCCTTTTGCTTTATGCTGGTTGTATAGACAGAAAACACTGGTTGGGGGCTAACGGGCTAGAGTGGTAAGGGAAGTATATTTCCCCTCAACAAGGTTACCCCAGTACTCGAAGAAAATTTCAGTATAAATGTCTACTAGTAGTTTATCTCTGAGAACTTAGACCTAGTAGCATGAGAACAGGTACAAACTTAGAGAAATGGGGTGTTTCACACAGCTAGGTGAGAAGTATGAAGCCCCAAAATATGTGTTGGAGGGTGTTTATATTCCATCTTGTCTACAAACCCCATATATATAGCAAGATGTACATATCTGTACACATATATGTATATGTGTATACATGTGTATACATATATGTTTGTATACATGTGCATAGGTATACATTCACATTGTGGGGACATTGGAAGAGACCAGTCATCCATCCTCATTACATATGGGCTTCATGATGATTCACATTAAACATAATGAGTGGGGGAAATGGTCTATATGTCTTATTTATGCCTTGCTGAAATTTATTTTTATATTTAATTTAAGAATAAATAACAAAGGATGAATAGTAAGACATGGATTTCTCTATCCTTATGTATTAATCAGTAACCATGAGCTATTTCTTCATAAACATATTTTTCACTCAAATCTGTATTCATGTTTTTATTTTCATTCAGGCTAACAGTGAATAGATATTGTAAAGAGAAAGAAAGAATAGAAGAAATCCTAAGTCTTTTATTGACATTCTTATGCAGAATTAATGTTCTGAGATTCACTGTTTTGGAATGCTGCTGTTTGGAATTCTATGTTATATTTGTTATTGCAGTTTAACCACAGTAGTAGTTTAATGAACTTGAAAAAATGATATTCAAGTACTACAGATGGGATTTGAGGAGTAAGGGACAAAAGAAAAATGTACTAGAAATGATGCTACTATCTTAGGGAAATGCCCATGGCTTCAAATAGGGAGTCTCAGAGGAACTCATCTCTAGTTGTACTCAGAGACATAACTGGGAATTATGGTGCCTGAGGCATATTCAATTGAGCCAGAGGCAATGTGTGGGCAGAGGATGGTCCACTCTGATTATGTGCAAATCTGTCCGCGATTTGCATGGGCTGGTTGATGACCATGAAGAATACAGAGGGGGAAGATGTAGAAGTGGCAAACTGGGGTTAGTGTCATTGGAGGAAGATGGATCCCAAGAGAGGGGCAGGACCCTTGGATCTAGCGCTATGTGGTACATGTCAGAGGTCCAAAGCACAGGAAGCCGCCCCCTAGAGGTGAACATCCCTAGTTATTGTGCCCAACTCTTCATGACCCCATTTGGGGTTTTCTTGGCAAAGATAAAGGGGTGGTTTGTCATTTCCTTCTCCAGCTCATTTTACAGATGAGGAAATTGAGGCAAACAGAATTGTGACATGCCCAGGGTCACAATGCTACTAAGTGTCTGAAGTCAAAATAGAATTCATGAAGATGAGTATTCCTTATTCCAAGCCCAGTGCTCTAAATTGTGCCACCTAGCTTTCCAGACACCCTGGGACAAAGCTTCAAATACCCGTCTTCATCACAATTTTGATTGTGCCAGCTATTACAATCACTATATTGATTAGAATATCATCTATATTGTTTTCCCCAAATATGGATTTAAATGAGACCTATAGTGATGCTATTTTTCCAGTTAACATATATGTAGTTATTATTTCTTCACATAAACATTTGTTTTAGTGAGACAGTTCATATTTAGGGATGATTTATATTTGGAATGATACAGTATTTAAAGCAGGCTCAAAAAAATTATGGGCAGGTAAGTGGCACAGTGGATAGAGGGCCAGGCTAAAGTGAAGATGACAACTTCATGAGTTCAAAACTGACCTTAGACATTCACTAGCTGTATGACCCTGAGCAAGTCACTTAACCTTGTTTGCCTCAGTTTCCTCATCTATAAAGTGAGCTGGAAAAGGAAATGGCAAACCACCCCAGTACCTCTGCCAAGAAAACCCCAAAAGGAGTCATGAAGAGTCAGACATGACTGAAAAATGACTAAACAACAATGAACAACAGAAAAGTATTATGTAGAATTGATATTCAGAGAATATCAAATTAATCTTTAATATCATCAAACTCTCAGTCTCCTAACTATTCCCCTTCTACAAGTATACTCTTTGAGTGTAGTTTCACCAAAAAGATGAAGACAGTACACATTGGTTAGGCCACAGTGAGTATATTTGTACAAAAATTTAACTATGACCAATGAGTCATTTGTTTTAAAAATGGCAGCTAAAATCCTAGTCTTATTGGACAGGTAGAGGGAAATGACACTTTTACATTTTAATGAAGGACTCAATCCTTATCCAATTCAATCTCTTCATTTTACAGATGAGAATTAAAATCCACAAAGACAGCAATTTCCCAAAGATCATATAGGTAGAAGCACTTCAGCCTTCCAGTTCCAAATCCTGGGCTCTTTCCCCTGCCTCCTGTCATCCCAGTTACTTTATCAGTAAAACTGACGGACTATAAGAACATAGATTTAGAATTGGAAGTAACCTTACTTGTCATCTTATTCAGCCTTCTTATTTCATTTGTGAGGATGCACCAGTCAAGAGGTTAAATAATTTGCCCAAGGATATACAGGTAGTAAGGGGCAGAGTTGGAAATGGAAACCAGAGCTTCTCAAGTCCAGTACTCTTTCCACTGCAACATGATGCCTCAGTTTCTTCATATGCCACATGATAGTAGAATTAGACCAGATAACCTCTGATGGCGCCTTCAAGTTTGAAATCCGTGATACTATTAACTTGAAGAGAGCCTGTTGCATTCAATGTTTTACAAAACACATTAAGAGCAGAAGATAATGAAGTTGCATTAAATACTAACAGTCTGTTGAAACTGATTGAGAATTTCCTCTTGTGAAAGTAATGTTCTAATTGCAGTAACAATTGTTTTCCTATGAGCAAATTAACAACATCCTAACCTTTTCAACAATAAGTCACCAAAATATGTATTTTAGTAAAAATTATAGCAAAAAGAAATGATTATTGCATTCTTGCAGCTGTTCATAGTGTTCTTTTTCTTTATTTTTAATAAGTTCTTATTGATGTCTCCTGTTTCTCACATCATCATAGTTATCCCAAGTATCCTTCCCCCTGACACCTGTGGACCTCCTACCTCTACAAAAGGGTACATTGAGGCTGTGTTCTCATATCTCTTCATTCAAGTCATTCTTGATCTTTACAATTTTTTACATTCACTTTTGATTTTTTGGTGTGTGGTTGTTCTTTCCATTTATATTGCGTATATTGTTTTTTTGGCTCTGCTTATTACAGTATTGTATCAGTTCATATAAATCTTTCCATGTTTCTCTGTATCCACCACACACATAATTTCTTATAGCATAGGAATATTCCATTACATTTATGTATCACAATTTGTTTAGCCTTTCCCTAGTAGATAGATGTCTACTTTGTTTCCAATTCTTTGCTACCACAAAAAATGTTGCTGTAAAAGTTTTGGATTTTATGGGGACTTTCTTCTTATTTATAGATTCCTTGAGGCATAAGCATATAGATATTATGGTTACCTTATTTGCATCATCCCAAATTTCTTTCCAAAATTATTGTACCATTTTACAGCTCCACTAACAATGTGTTAGTGTGTCTATCATTCCACAATCCCTCCAATGTTGACTATTGCCATTTTCTGTAATCTTTACTAATTTGTAGGGTGTGAGGCTTATTACCCTCAGGGTTGGTTTGTTTTGCATTTTTTCTCATTATTACTATTTTAAAGCATCCTTTTGTGTGGTTATGGATATTTTTCAATTCTTCATTTGAAAACAGTTTGTTTACATCATTTGATCACTTATCTATTGGGGAATGGCATTAGTCATATATATGTATATACACAAATATATTTATTGTTTATGTATCTTGAATGTCTAACTCTTATCAGAGAAATTTGATATAAAGATTTTTTCCATCCCATCAATTCCCTTCTTATAATAGTTGCATTAATTTTGTCTGTGCAGAAGCTTTTCAGTTTCATGTAATCAAAGTTATCTAGCTTATCTTTTGTAATTACCTCTATCAACTGTTTGGTTAAGAATATGCCTACTACCCATAACTGTGAGGTTTATATGATTCGTTTTTCTTCTAATTTTTTATAGTGTGATCATAAATATTAAAGTTATATGTCCTTTTATAATATGTTGTAGAATATGGCATAAGGTATTGGTCTAAGCCAAATTTCTGCCAGACTGTTTTCCAGTTTTCCCAGCAATTTAAAAAAAAAAATCAAATGAGGAGTTTTTCACCCACCTGGGTAGTTTATGTTTTCCAATTTATCAAACACTAGGCTACTGAGTTCCATTGTTTCTAATTCTCCTTTTTCTAGTGTGTTCCATTGGTTTATCTCTTTATTTTTTAACCAATATTAGAAGACAGATACTTTATAATATTGTTTGAGGTCTGGAAGTGTTTTCCTCCTTCATCTCTACTTCTTTCCATCATTTAACTTGGTATTCTATGTATTTTCTTTTTCCAAATAAATTTTATTTTTTTCAAATTCTATAAAGTATCCCCTTGAAAATTTAATTGGTAGAGTATTAAAAAGTGTAAATGAACTTCAGAAGTTCATTCCTAATTTAACTTTAAAGGCTTATTGATGTGTTTTCTTAACCTACAAAATTTTTACTAACATATTCTCCGAAAGTAATTCAGGAGCATCCCACCCTTTATTCCCTTCCCATCTCAAACAAATTTCAGTTACATATTGATATCTTTAGGTTTAATTTTTCTTAAAGCAACTTACCACATAGTTCTTCTGTGTCAAGATTGCTTAAAAAGATGAAAGAAAAAGAAAAAGAAAGAAAGAAAGAAAGAAAGAAAGAAAGAAAGAAAGAAAGAAAGAAAGAAAGAAAGAAAGAAAGAAAGAAAGAAAGAAGGAAGGAAGGAAGGAAGGAAGGAAGGAAGGAAGGAAGGAAGGAAGGAAGGAAGGAAGGAAGGAAGGAAGGAAGGAAGGAAGGAAGAAAACAAAAGAAAAGAGAAAAGAAAAGAAAAGAAACATGATTACTTCTTCTGGATTTTAATTTGGATTTTCGTAAAATTGAATACAGTCATTTTCTAGCCCACAAAAAGGCACTATGTAACAATGTCTATTAGATATATTCACCTATTAAATACCAAATTGGTCTATATCATATCAGTAATAAGCAAGAACTGAGACAGATTCTTTCAGTGTGTAAACTACTTTTTTGGAATATTGGGAAAGTTGTAGCCTAGACGAGGTGATTCTTGAGCCCTCCAGTCATTAGTTCCCCCCACCCACCCCCATTACTTTGTATATATCCAGCATTTACTTATATGTTAATATGTTGCTACCTCACCCCCTTCCAGTCCCCCAGTATAATACAAGTTCTTTGAGGATAGAGACTATTTCCTTTGTATCCCTGAGGTCTAACACAGGAGTATAGTGGGCATCTAATAAATGCTTGTTGGATTGATGTTATGGTTTATTCTGCTTTACAAAGTACTTTCCTCACAACAACCCTGTGAGATTGGTAGCATAATTATTATCTTCCATTGAAGATAAAATAGCTTAGGCTCAATGAGATAAAATAATTTAATCAATTGATCAAAATAGGACTAGAATTCAGGATTGTTTTTTTGAACTCTTAACTCTTTTTGCAAGGCAATTGGAGTTAAGTGACTTGCCCACACAGCTAGTAAGTATCAAATGTCTGGTCTGAGACCAGATTTAAACTCAGGTCCTCCTGACTCCAGGGCTGGTGCTCTAACCACTGCACCATCTAGCTACCCCATCAGAATGACTCTTATAGGCAACTGAGAATTCAGGGGAGGGAAATGGCTTGTGGGTAGCAGAGGGTTTAAGAAAGGCTGTGAGACTTTGCATGAAGTTGTTGTGCCATTATGACTCCTGGAATAAATACAGACTATTGGAATGTATCTATGGGAATGATTTAGACATAAAACAAAGGTCCTTAGATACACTGTTTTTCTTCTCATACCTAATCATACAAAGCTATTAGAATGATACTTTAGAGCTCCCAGAAATCTTATTGTCAACCACCCTTATCTTACCTATGAAGAAACTGATGCCTTTACAAATTCCTTTTACAGATGAGCATACTAGGACTCAGGGGCATTAAGTACATTCTCCAAGATCACACCGTGGAGTAGTCAGGGGCAAAACCAGGTTCACGACCTAGGTTTCTTTATTCCTAGCTTATGTTTTATTATTTGGTCTTTCTTCCCCAAACAAGCAAACAAACAAATAAAAAACACACAAACATTTCTGGCATTGAAACTGATGCCATTCACATCCTTTTCTCTTGTAGGAGTTCAAGTAATAAAAATAACTACTGATATTTATATAAAATTTTACAGAGAAAAAAAGCACTTTACCACTTTGTGAAACAGATAGTAAGCATGTCATCATCACCATCATTATTATATGTTTTCTTATTGTTATTCTTTTTGCAAATGAGAAAACTGAGTCTGGGAGTTTAAGGGACTTGGCCAAAGTTCGTATAGCTTGTGAGTACAAGATGCCCCAAAAGTCTCAGTACAGTTTTAAGCTATTAAAAATTTAAAACTGCAGTAAGAATTTTGGGGCCCCCTGTAAAAGAGCTAACTCAAACTAGGTTGGTTTTTTTGTTGTTCCAATTCAAGTACTCTTTCTATTCTCTCTCTCTGTTTTTGGTTGGGGTGTTTTTTTTTTGGTAATCGGGGTTAAGTGACCTGCCCAGGGTCACACAGCTAGTGCATATCGTGGCCAATTTGAATTCAGGTCCTCCTGACTCCAGGGCTGGTGCTCTATCCACTGAGCCACCTGGCTGTCACTCTATTCATTTTTAATGGCCATAATAAGAACAATACTTTCCCACTCGTTAAAAAAATCCATATCATTGTTTTTGCTTCTACATAACAGTACTTTCCAGAAATACTTCTCCCTTGATCCCCAACAGCACTGAACAAGCTTCTTTTTAACAAAGAAAATCGATTCAGCAAAGCAATTGACATAGGAACCACATATGTCAATATGTGCAATGCACCCATAGTCAGCAACGTCATAAAGAAAATGGGAGAGTACATTTCCTCATCTTTTTTTTTTCTCCTAATCCACACTGAAACATTAATTTCTTGTGTTGAGATGCAGACCGAGAACTATGAGTATTCTTCATGCCAATAGCCATAGCTATTTCTCACAGAAGCAACCTGCTAACAAAACAATAGAGGACGTGGCCTGGAACGCCTCCATTTTCAGCAGTTTTTGTTCTGTGTTGTTTGTGGGAAGTGGTATAAATTGTGTGCATTTATAGCAGGGCTACGTGGCTGAATTTTAGCAAGCAAGATTTCTTATTGTACCACATTTTCATCTTGCAACATCATGGGAATTTAAAGAACAACCAAGCCATATGCAGAGCATATGTTAGTCTTTCAAACAGCCCTACTCTTTATACACACATGTATACATATCTAGGCATGACTACAAATTCTAGCTATGGCATTAAAGTATAGAAAAAGATAAAAGAACACACACTATAAAATGGATGTGCACTCACTGAAATGTAGCATCAGGAATGATTCCTATCACTAAATACATAGTCTTTGTTAGATCTAATAGAGGGATAATGACAAAATGCTTTTCTTCTTAGCAAGGGCTAGTGGTTGTCGTTGTTGTTGTTTTATTGGTCTTATTGTTTTTCCAATTTAAGATATTTATGCCAAATTGTAGAGGAATCATTAACAACTCTTTAGGCTTCCAGGCCCTTTTAAAGCTTGTTGGTTATTTTCTGAGGCTCTTTGTTATTTTGTTACAATTTTGTTGCAATGAGATTGTTTTGAGGCAATTCTTCCTCAACTCTTAGCGTCATTTTTCACTTTAACTGACATAACTTGTCTGTTAATGAGCATTTCTTATTTGCTATGTGTCAACCATTACTGAAATGCTTATTTCCTCATATCATCAGCTTCTGTGGTATCTCTAACAGTCACTGAAGTGTGTGCTCTGAAAGAGCTGCAAGTTTTACATATTTCCTTGGAGTAATTTTAATTCTTAAAAAACACAGAATTAAAAACAGAGAAGAAATCAATAAAACCTATGTGTATCCAGAGCTTGACATGGTGTCTGACACATAGTAAGTGCTTAATAAATGTTTATTGGTTAATTTATGACAGGAAATGTATTACTAATCTGAAAACTAAGAGTGAAGAAACTAGCTCAATGTGATTTTAATCTGGTCCAGGTCAAATGTTCTGAATCAGCCTGTCTTCAGCAGAAATATACATGCATGACCATTGCTATTACAAAATAAAATAATATCAACATTTTTGCTTTCCCCAAATAATTAATACATGAGTTTTATGATATTATTCCATTTTGTCTTACTATCCTTGAGAAGCCAGGGTGGTATGACTTGATGACTATGAAGTTAAAACAACAACAACAACAACAACAACAACAATACCTTACAGTTATCCCTTTTATATCACAAGGGTTAGGAGCCAGAGCACCTGAGATCTAAAAAATCTGTGTAAAATATTTTGGCTGTCCCTTCATATCAGAGAAGAAGCTGAATTTTTTTATGGGATGTTCACAGTACCTTATTGTAAAATTTGGGTTGATATTATACAATATTATTCATATATTTTATGCATTTCTGAGTTTCTAAACTTTTTTGGGTCATCTGGTGGCCTTTGTGTGTCACCTGTTTGCTTGTTTTGTGGCAGAACGACAGAATAATAAAACATAAAGCAGGAATAAGGAACCTAGTCCTGAACTTGGCTTTGCCCCTGACTACTGAGTGGTGTGAGCTTGGAGAACTTACTTAATGCCTCTGAGTCCTAGTATGCTCTCCCAAAATTCCCATTTAATTTCGTATACACGTACCTTCAATATATTGAAACTGTGATGGGGGAAGTCTTGATGTGAAAGGGATAACTGTAGATTTGAATCTCATCTACCTCCTAGTTGTGTGACTTTTTACAAATCATTTCACCCCTCTGAGACTTATTTAAAAAGATGAAATAGGGAAAATTGTACTTAATGGGATCTTGCTTCAGGAGTTGTTTTAAGTACCAAATGAAATAGCTGATGTAAAAGTGTTTTGTAATGGGCAAATGTTATATACAGTTTATCCCAAAAGTCTTACTGCAGCTTTAGTTACTAAAGCTTAAAACTGCACTAAGACTTTTGGGACACTTTGTATAAATATTATATATTCATAATGACATAGACAATTTCTAGATCAACAAGTTTTGCATGTCAATGCTCAGGTTTGTCAAAAGTAGCCTTTTGACATTTGAACCTATAAAAAAGAAACATGTTACAAAAAACTGAATTTATTTTATTGAGGACATTTGGTAATGCCTAATCCCCACACTGAGTCCCTCTTCAGTGCCTCATCCTGGTCTGGAGGTAAATAGGGGTCTTTGAAACTATACCCACAGAGAGTTAAGTAGCAGATTCAGTCAATCTGGAAGGATTTTGAATATGAGTCTGGACATGGAATGTGAATTCGTCATCTGAGGACCAGCCATCACCAAAAGGATGGCTACCAGGTGACTGCTTTTTAGCGGCAGAAAGCCTCTACTAATATGTGGAGAGCTTGGCTCTATGGAGGGAGGACCCACATCCATGAAATCCTGGCCGCCTGAAGTCTTGGAGATGAGATGGCTGGAATTGTATATGCTTCCCTCCACCCCCCTTTCAGAAACCAGTATGATTCCAGAGAAGCTAAACAGATTTGCTGCCTAATGGGCTTTGTGCTTATCACTTTTGAGAAACACATCTGTGATGTGATAGTAATTTCAGC